CACAAAATGATGAACATTTTCAACACAATAAAAATTTCACACAAACAAGTTGATGAAGTTCATGCCCACAAGTTTAAAATCATGCCCACAAGTTCATCCAACCAAGTTCAAAATGCAAATCAAGTTCAATACACAAAGAAAAGACACATCATTCCTCGTCATCGTCCTCGTCTTCGTCCTCGTCCTTATCTTCGGAAGACGATTCTTCCGCCTACGAAGATGAATCTTCCTCCCTCTCGCGCACCGCATCACGTGAAGCTCCGACGGTGTTGGCAAGATCTTCAACGGCATCTTCATGGGAATGTGTGCGAGGAGGCTCATCGAAAGACATTCCGCCCATGGCGACCGGAGGTGCACCCATGCCTCCCATGAGAGAAGCAAAACTCATGCCTCCCATCGTGACCATAGCATCGGGGGGTGCTCCAAAGCCAGCCATGCCTCCCATTGCACCTAAACCGCCCACGGTACCTCCAAAGCCACCCATGGCACCCATGGCGCCGAGGCCACCGCCACCCATGGCGCCGAGGCCACCGCCATCCATTGCACGAACCATGGCTCTTTTTTGGATCAAGACTTCTTGTTGGGCAAGATTGACATACTCCTTTTGCACCGCATTGAGGTTACTTGTGTCCAAGAAGAATAAGTGATTCTCCCATCCGAACAACCTAGTTCGCTCCTCATGTTCACCTTCCTCTCCTCCAAAGCCACCTTCCTCTCCTCGGCCGCCACCCTCCTCTCCTCGGCCGCGGCATCTTGGGTCCTTGCCATTTTCCTCACCTCGTTGGCTTCTTTTCTTGCCTTCACAATAGCTTCCATAGCATGTTTGAGCTCATCATCTCCTTTTCTCTTCTTCTTTTGGGTTTGGTCTTTCTTGCACCCATCCGGTCGCTTTGGCTTCGAGTATGAAACCGAGTTGGGTGTAGGGCTTCTCTTGCCGTCATCACTTGATGCATCATCCTCATCATCATCATCATCCAACTTAATTGTTCGCTTCCGTTTGTCGCTCAAATGCAAATCATCCAAATCTTCACGCTTCTTCCATTTCTCATCATCCTTCAACACATCATATCAATGAGGCAAAGTAAAGACCCTTCCTTCTTAATCTTCCCCTTCTTGGTTTTCCTCTCCTCTTCTTTGAACAAGTTTTGCGCAATATTGAACTACATGAAAACAAAGCAAGTTAGCACCAACAACAAGCAAAACAAAGCAAGTTTAGCACCAACATGTAAGATGAAATGGCACTTACTCTATCGTCCTCATTTGTGCCACTTGGGTTCAACTTGTCAACCGCCTTTTGACAAGCCGCCCACTTTTGACAATCCGAGTTGATTGTCGACCACCGGGACCTAAGTGATCGGTTGGAGCGGTCAATTCCACTCACGTTGCGAGCATCAAAGTGTTCCTTGATCCGGTTCCAATAAGCATCTCTACTTTGATCGCCTCCAACGGATGGATCCCTCGACACTTGCAACCAAGTATTGCATAGTAAGATGTCATCGGTGTTGGTGTAATTGCCCGCTCTTCCTTTCGGTGCGTCGACAATGCCCTCACCCTCCTCGTCCACCTCGAACTCATGGTCTTCAAAATGCATGTCATTGGTTTGAGACCAATGCGAATTGTTGGAGCCAACACCCATCGTTGACATGTATGCATCATCATTGAGACTACAAATTTTTTTGCACAATGCAAATAAGCTATCTATATGTGACGAATGCATTCAAAAAAGAACAAAAAAATGAAAAGTTAGATTTTTTTTACCTTGGAGGCATTTCGTCGAACATGTTGTGCGCGCCGGCCGCCGGCTCAACGAGTGAGCTTGCCGGCGCTTCGGCAGCCGCCGCGCCCGTCGCACGCCCCGCAAGCTTCTTCCTCTTCGCCTTGGAGGTGCCGGAGCCGTCCGCCGCCTTGTTTTTCTTCGCCGATGTCTTGCCCTTCTTTAGCCGCGCCGCATTGGGGAGCTTTGAGGAGGAGGAGGCGGCGGCTCGGGCCGGCGCCGGCGCGATGCCACCCGCCGCCGAGGTCATCCGCGGCGGCATGAAGAGACCGCGCGCGAGGCCGCTCGTCGGAGGAGCTCCGGCGGCGGCGAGGCCAACGCCACCCGGGCTAGGGTTTGTGGCGGCGGTGGCGGGGGGGGGTCATGGCTATAGGACGGGGTGAGCGGGGTGCCGGCGCGTGCGTCCATGGGTGCGGGTCACCGGTGCCGGCGCGCGCGGGGCTTTGGAGGGGGAGAAGAAGAGCGCGCAGCGCGAGCGTCGAGTGTGCCGCGCGCGAAAGCAGGCGCCGCAAATACACCGCGCGAGGTACCGCTTCCACGCGCGCGCCCAACTGCTTATACCGCACGCGCGGCTATTGCGCGCCCGCTGGAGCCATCCGCCGGGTTGCGCGCGCGCTAAAACGGGCGATTTTGCGGCGCGGCGCCTGTTTAGCGCGCCTGTTGGAGATGCTCTAAGGATGGCTCGAAAATTAGATTCTGGGAGGACAAGTGGCTAGGAAATGCCACACTCCGGGAACAATATCTGGCTCTATACAACATTGTGTGTCACAAGGGTGATACTATTGCCACGGTAATAGAATCGTTTTCGCCAAATGTGACGTTCGGAAGAAATTTAATTGAACCCAGACTCCAATCGTGGTACATCCTGCTCCAACGGTTGTCTATGGTGCAATTGTCACATGGGTCTGATGTATTTTGATCGAACCTACATGGGAATGGACAATTCTCATTGGAGTCAATGTATAGAGCGTTAATCCGGTCTGATGTGCCAGTTGATAATAACAAGAAGATCTGGAAGATGAGTATACCTTTTAAGAATAAAATATTTGCATGGTATCTTCGTCGCAGAGTCAGTCTTACTAAAGATAACCTTATCAAGAGGAATTGGCATAAAAGTCCACAATGTGTTTTTGTCATCATGATGAGATAATAAAATATTTATTCTTCCAATGCAAATTGGCTCGGTCTATATGGTCAGTCATCTAGATAGCTTCTAGCTTGTATCCTCCTTGTAGTGTTGCTAATATATTTGGCAACTGGTTACATGGGATTGATCACATGTTTAGAACTCTTCTTAGGGTGAGAGCGCGTGCCGTTATTTGGTCAGTTTGCCTGTGTAGAAATGATAATGTTTTTAACAAGTACTTCTCTAATGCAGGTTATCTACAGATGTACTGAGACTCTTCGTTTATGGTCCTCTCTGCAACGCATGGAGAATTGAGATCTATTTACGGAGGTTGTACATGATTCGAGGATACGGCAAGCGATACTTTTACCCAACATGGGTGGCAGTATGATCTTAGGATTGGCTCACCTCCGCTTTAGGAGTTATACGGACTCTACATGTTTCTTTGTATTCCGCCTTTTCATTTTTCGTTTGTACGAAAGGACTTTGTTTGGCTGTGTGCATCTTAATTATGCAGAGGCTGAGTGTAATGCTTAAAAAATTTAAGTCATAAAGCACCTCTTTTCGAAAAACTTAGATGACTGACCATACGAAATGAGCCAATTTACATTGAAAGAAAATCAAAGAAAAAACATTGCAAAAAAGAAAAGAGAGAAAAATCAGTGAAAAAAGAAAAAAAAACAAGAATTAAACAAATAAACTAGAGTAAACCGAAGAAGTAGGGAAGAAAAAAGAAATAAAAACTGAACAAATGCAACAACGATCAAACCCGAACGAGCACGCATGTTAATGGGCGGCCCATAGGCAGCATCCGTTACAGGCTTAACCGTACAGGACCCACATCCCATTCTCCGTGCAGGGCCGGACCATGTTACTTTTTTGTTTTGTTTAAAGAGGTGAATCGAACATGCGATCTCCTGGCTTATTGTTCGTTAACACAACCAACCAGCCAACCGACTTGACGTGATTATTTATAGCTTTTACCTTCTTATAATCTTTCTTTATTTTCTTTTTTTGCTCGAATGGTTTTGTTTGAGTTTTATTTCTATTGTTTTTGGAATGGTCTTTTTGCTAAAAAAAATTAAAATACATGAATTTCCTTCTCAAATTCGTGAAGTTTTTTTTCAATTCGATGAACTTCTTTTGAAATTCAATGAAATTTTTCAACTTCGATGATTTTTTTTCAAATTCGATGAACTTTGTACAACTCTGATGAAATTTTTTTCAAAATCAATGAACCTTTTCCAAATTCAATGAACTATTTCTAAATTCGATGAACTTTTTTTCAAAATCGGTGAACATTTTTTAAAATTTGTGAACTTTATTTAAAATTGATGAACTTTTTGCAAAGTCAGTGAACTTGTTTTTCAAAATCTATGAAGGATTTTCAAATTTGTGAACCTTTTTGAAAATCGTTGATATATTTTTTTTGATGAACTTTTTTTCTTTTTCGTTATGTTTTCTGAAATCCGTGGACATTCAAATTTTGTTTAATTTTTTTAAAAAGGAATCACATTTTTCTCTATAGCGCGGATAAAGTTAGTTCTTAACGTTTGGCGTTACATCGTCGCAAAAAAAAAAACGTTTCGTGTCACAATCTTTCACAAGGGCATAGTTGGTCTAGTTGTTAGCCAAAAGAAGCTCCGCCTTTCTTCCTGGCCTCTAAACTTGAGCCTGTCCACATGTTGAATCGACAGCGTAGCTACGCTGGAGCTATCACTGCACACTGCCAAAACCAAAGAGACAAAATAACAAACACCCAGCCTCTCTACAGACCCAACATTCGCCGCGCCGCGAGATAACGAAACAGGAAATGCTACAGACAAGTCGAGCAGAACGAAGAGGACGTCAACGAAAACCACATGCGCACACGCGCAGAACCACAGCTCACGCAGACCACACCTTGGTGGATACCGGCAAGCAGGCAGGCTCCTCCCATGGCTGCGCATCACCAAAAAGGAACGAATTCGTGTGTCACGCGGATTCCATGGCAACGGGGAATGGCCACTTACATAAGTATACAGCGACGCCAAGACCACAAAACTATTGGTCGCAGCAGAAACAAGTACGGGAAAGGAAATCAAGAACCGTGTGCACACCATGCTCGCGACCACGCCGTCGTCGTCGGGGGTCAAGTTACAGCCATGGGGGAGTTGCCGGAGAAGGGCGGCATCACCTGCTCTTCTTCCACCGACGGCCACCGGACGGATCGTCGTCGATTCCGGGAGGACGCTTCCCTCCCCTCTTCCTCTACGAGCTGTCGCCTCCCAGAGCGCGCAGACCTCTCGTGCGCCACAGCCACAGGTACATCGACACATGCATGCATAGTAGGAGTAGCAGAGAAGTGTTTCTTGCGCCATGAACTGAGTTCTTGTATCGTTGGCGATTGCTCGCGCAGCCTCCGCCGTTGGATGTTGACGAGGAGAAGATGCTGGCCAACTACGTCCCGGTGTTCGTCATGCTCCCCGTAAGAACCGAAGGAGCAAATTCATGTGGTTTTGCAAGCTTTGGTGGCAATGCTTCTCACACGATCGACCGACACCGTAACAGCTAGAAGCGATCACCGCCGAGAACAAGGTGAAGGACGCGGAGGGGCTGAGGCTGAAGCTGCGGCGGCTGAGGGAGGCGGGCGTCGACGGCGTCATGGCGGACGTGTGGTGGGGCATCGTGGAGGGCGCCGGGCCGGGGCGGTACGAGTGGCGCGCGTACAGGGAGCTCTTCCGGTTGGCGCAGGAGGAAGGACTGAAGCTGCAGGTCATCATGTCGTTCCACGCGTGCGGCGGCAACGTCGGCGACGCCGTGAACATCCCGATACCGGCGTGGGTGCGCGACGTCGGCGAGGCGGACCCGGACGTGTACTACACTAGCCCCGGCGGGGCCAGGAACCAGGAGTACCTCACCATCGGCGTGGACGATCGGCCCTTGTTCCACGGCAGAACCGCCATCCAGGTACAGCACGGCCGCACGACCCTCGCTGTATCAGACCGAGAGCATCTCCAACAGAAACGCTATATAAGTGCCGCACGGTATAAAAACTGTTTTTAGCGTGTGCGGATCCGGTTTGGAATCTCCAGCAGCCGCATAAAAAGTGTGTGTGCGCTGTAACTAATGCAGCGCGCGCATCAAAAGGCATCGCGCGCAGCATATTTAGTGCGCCCGGTCGCGCGGACTGCAAACTCTGGGCTGCTGCAGATGGGACCATTGGACTCGCGCGCGCAGCATATTTTGCAGCGCTTGTTGGAGCAAACGTCTTCTAGCGCCCTAAAAAAATTTACTTGCGCGCTGTAAACCTGTTTTTGGGCGCCGCGCATTGGGCGGCTGTTGGAGATGCTCTAACACAAATTAATCAACCGGTTACTTGTTTGTGAGCCGCTGCAATTCCAGCTCTACGCGGATTTCATGGAGAGCTTCAGAGAGAACATGGCGGACTTGTTGGAGTGTGGCCTAATCGTGGACATAGAGGTTGGGCTTGGCCCTGCCGGCGAGCTGAGGTACCCATCCTACCCGGAGAGCCAGGGGTGGGCGTTCCCCGGCATCGGGCAGTTCCAAGTACGCTCGAATCCCGAGATATTCAGAACTACTCTAGTACTCTGTCACGGCTGGTTCAAGTTGCTCAAAAAACGAGTCGTTCCTGCAGTGCTACGACAAGTACCTAGAGGAGGATTTCAGAGCGGCAGCGACGGATGCCGGACACCCGGAGTGGGAGCTCCCCGACGACGCCGGGGAGTACAACGACGCCCCTGACGACACGCGCTTCTTCACGGCGGACGGCGCCGGCGCGACGTACCTCACCGAGAAGGGGAGGTTCTTCCTCACATGGTACTCCAGCAAGCTGATCGAGCACGGCGACAGGATCTTGGACGAAGCCAACAGGGTCTTCCTGGGCTGCACCGTCAAGCTCGCCGCAAAGGTACGTCTCGCACTGACATCTGCAGCGAGAAAGAAATTGCTGAAGAAAACGACGAGCCTGATTTTGCAGGTGTCGGGGATACACTGGTGGTACAGGCACCCGAGCCACGCGGCGGAGCTCACCGCCGGGTACTACAACGTCGACGGGCGGGACGGCTACCGGGCGATCGCGCGCATGCTGGCGCGGCACGACGGCGCCGTCCTCAACTTCACCTGCGCGGAGATGCGGAACTCGGAGCAGGCCGAGGAGGCCATGAGCGCCCCGGAGGAGCTCGTCCAGCAGGTGCTGAGCGCCGGGTGGAGGGAGGGGACCGAGGTGGCGTGCGAGAACGCGCTGCCCAGGTACGACCGGCGGGCGTACAACCAGATGCTGAAGAACGCGCGTCCCAACGGCGTCGACCTCGGCGGCGTCCCGGCGCGCCGCCTCGCCGCGGTGACGTACCTCAGGCTCACGGACCAACTCCTGGCCGGGAACAAGTACCGGGCCTTCAAAACCTTCGTCAGGAAAATGCACGCCGATCAGGCAAGCCCAGTTTTAGCGCCTTTGGCGGGCTATGAGCCTGTGACTTCTTACGACGTGCTCTGAGCTGTGTGTGTGTGACGTTCGGTTTTTTTGTTTCAGGATTACTGTGCCGATCCGGCCCAGTACCACCGGCCCCTGAAGCCTCTGGAGCGGTCGAGGCCGGCGGTACCCATGGACCAGCTGCTGGACGCGACGTCGCCGGAGGAGCCATACCCGTTCGATCCCGAGACGGACATGAGCGTCGGCGGCGACCTCGCGGAGCTCATCGACTGGGCGTTCGACAAGATCGAATGGATATTCGGTTGAAAATGCCGCTCTTTGTACCCCACCCAGGCAAATCGGGTCGATACACGCACCCTTGCCGTAACTAGTAGGCCAATTAGTAGTACCGGACGTCTCTCAGCAATATGTCCACGAAAAAGAATAATCCATTCGTGGGATACTAATACAAGAAGCATGCATTGTTTTTTTTTAGAAAAAACCATCATGACTAGTTTTATTGATTGAAAATAGGAATTACATTGTCCACAAGGTTTGAAACGAGAAAGCCTAAAGGCTCATCCGTTCAACTAAGAAAAATCTTATTACAATAACTGTAGTTTTTTTTTTGAGTTGATACAATAACTGTAGTTAGTTAGCACATGCGCTGCTTGGTTACAAGGACGTGGGCAACACTGAAATTTGACCTTCCTGATCAACGAAGAAAGATCCACACACTTGATAAAAATAGCAGCTGCTTCATCCCACCATCTAGATTGACCATCACATGATTCTATCACCGTTGTGGAGTCCGACTCTGCTTCAATCCGGGAAAAACCAAGTGAATTTGCAAGAAGCACGCATTGTTTATTGCACGATTTATGTGCTGTCGGGCAAACAAAACAGAAGAACAGAAATGCAACGGTTACGGACTCGCGGGACTGATCAGAACAGCAACGAAATGCGATTCCACGACACACCACCGGTGCATGTGCGCGCGTACGTGCCCGTACCCTGCGTTGCATTCAGTGCATGCATCATGCCCGTCGATCGTAAAGTTTGACAACCACACTGGTCCCACGCAAGAAAAATGGAAAATATATTGCTAAATGTGACTTGTTGTGTAGTGGCCTTTCCAAAATGATTTGACGAAAAGCACGTGAACCCGCCCAGATGGACGGAGCAGCAATGGTACGAGTGGTACCGCGTGACGCCGACCGATGGGGGGTTTTGGAAACGTGCATAAGAGAGAGCAGTAACGGTGGCCGTTGGACGGCTCGCGTCGATCGATTAGTGCGAGATTTTCTAGCGGCGAGGATCGCGTCGATCCATTAGTGCGAGATTTTCTAGCGGCGGGGAGGCGCTCCGTCGCAGCGCATCGACGTACGTACTGACATGACATGCCCTGATCTCTTTGGGTAGGTAGCTGATCGATCGGCATCGTGGCCTCCGAGCCTGGGCGGTCGGTGCGGTTGCAAGCCTGGGCCGCGTGCCTGGGCAAAGCTGCTGCCTGGTATGTGGCCTGAGATTTTTAATTTTCTAGCCTGGTCAGGCAGCCTGGAGAGGCAGAAATCACATATTTGACCTGAGGTCCAAATCAAATCACAAACTGGCCTCGTTTTGAAAAAATTTCACTCTCCTGACCTTTTTGTGTGGCGCCCGACAGCTAGGCGCCACACATCACTATGCAGCGCCTCTGTCTTAGGCGTCGCACCTCCTGCCAGCGTGGCAGCCCTGGTCCAGTTGCGGCCCCACAGACAGCACTGCAGCGCCTCAGACTTAGGCGCCACACTTGTAATGTGCAGCGCCTAGCTCTTGGGCGCTGCATAGTCTGTGTTCCATTTAGACTGGCCCCACCCTCTCTCCCATCCCACCCCCACCCCACACACCCCGCCCCACACAAACCCTTAGCCTTGCGCCTCTCCTCTCTTCCCCTCTCCCCCTCTCAAATCCTTCTCAAATCTTGCAAATCCGAAGTATTTGACTGTCGATTTCGAAGCCAACCCCTCCCTTAAGGTAATCTCCTTCGATCCCCTCGTTTTCATCCATAGGAATTGTCACATTTGCTCAAATATTGCTACTTTGGGGAAACCCTAGTTTTGGCTTGAATTTGCAAATTTGTATTGAATCATGTTATGTTTCTTTGCTAATTTGGGTTGGTTAGGCTTTCATAGTATGCTAGGGTTAGAGTTATGTGTGTTTCATGTTCGTGTTAGGGTTATGCTATGGTTAGGGTTGTGGTTATTGTTAAGTGGGGGTTAGGGTTATTAATTCATATATATGTTATGGCATATGTATTTTGTGCAAATATTTTTTGTTAAGTACTTACTTGATATATGTGTGTTTTTTATTATTGTAGGGATGGGGAGAACATGTGTTTATGTTCATCATGTGGACAAAGAGGCCTTTTTGAAAGGCAATGTTGAGCCGGACCCGGATGAGCTTGACATGGTGTTTGAGAGTAGTCCAAGCTATGCGGAGCTCTTGGACCAAGTGAGGAAGGATTTGAATTGGATGGACCCAAGTGACGTTGTTGAGTTCGTGGGAAGGCATAATGTTGGTTTTGGAATGCACATCCGTTGGAAGACAATGCGTGTGAACTCCGAGCAACGTTGGGTTGCATACAAGGAGACGGTTGCCGAATCTCTAGACAAGGCTCTTGAGTTATTTGCCTCCAAGAAGGTTGAGTCTACTTTGAATTTGGACTTGAACCGGAACCCCTCCCCGTTGGTTGCTAGCACTCCACCACCCATGAACCAAGATCAAATGAGTGAACCTCATTTCACGCAACAAGATTGGCCAACATTGAGCCCGACTCCAAACAACCAAAATGAAGGTTTTGAAGAGGAGAATGATGAGTACGAGGAGGATGACAACGAAGTTGATCTCCATGACAACAATGTGGGTGATCTCGACCAATATCATGTGCAAGAGACAATGGACCAATCCATCCCTTTTTCCCGTGCATATGCATCGGACTCGGATGACGATGGTCCCGATGAAGAAGTTGATGAGGAGGGGTTCACACCGAAGGAGGCCCAAGCATTCAAGAAGGTATTCGGGCGGGATCACAAGACACCATTGTTCAAGGATCTTAGTCTCGTGGATGAAGCCGTTGTGGATGGTGGCAAATGCATATCTCTTGGAGCTAGGCCAAGTTCTCACCGTGATTTGGAAGACGGCAAGAGCGGGATATATCCCGGTTGTGAGTTTCAATCCTTCTTGGAATTGAAGATGTGGCTTGACAACTACTTGGTTACGCATTATCGTCCACATAAAATTGGCCAACTCGGACGTCAATGTGCGTTACACGGTCAAATGTGAAGTGCCAAGTTGTCCATAGATTGTGCGTGCAAGGCCATGGAAAGGAGGTCCCACTTGGCGCATAGTGAGTTGTCTACCAAATCACATGTGCCGGCACAAGAATGCGGATGGCAAGCTTGTGTACCAACAACACAGACAACTCACGTCCAAGTTCATCGCTTATAGGCTTTCCAACCAAATATCCACACTTCCAACAATGAGCATCAAGAGTGTCATTGACCTTGTGAAAGCCATCTTTCATTATAAGGTGAAGTACGGCAAGGCATGGAAGGCAAAGCAAGCCGCATTCAAGATGTTGTATGGCAATTGGGAGGAAGCATACAACCGACTCCCTAGGTTGTTGTTAGCTATGGCCACTACAAACTCAGGCATGGTTCACGTGGTTGAGCCTCATGGGCACCAAACATTGATTCACAACGGGAGGACTGTCTGAGTATTTAGCCGTGCATTTTGGGCCTTTGAGCAATGCATGAGGGCTTTTGAGCATTGTCGGCCCGTCATCGCCATTGATGGCACGTTCTTGACCGGACAATACAAGGGCACTTTATTGGTTGCAATAGCAAGTGATGCCAATAACCGGGTGTTGCCTTTGGCTTTCGCTTTGGTTGAGGTGGAGAACAATGATAACTGGGAGTGGTTCTTGCGTCAATTGAGAACAAGGGTATTACCGGCTGAAAGGGAAATTTGTGTCATATCGGATCGCCATCCAGGAATTCTCAATGCGGTGATGGTTGACATTCCCGGACATAGAAAGTTGCATCATCGATGGTGCATGAGGCACTTTTGTGCAAACTTCTATAGGGCATGTGGTATCAAGGAGTTGGCCGATGATCTTCAAGATCGTTGTCTCGCTTTCACCAACAAGCGGTTTGCCACATTGTTCAATGCATTGCTCAGACACAAGAAACTTGACCCCGGTGGTCATGAATTTCTCAGTAAGAACATTGTCGAAAGGAATATGTGGGCACGTGCTTTCGATGAAGATGGCCGGAGGTACGGTCAAATGACAAGCAATATGGCAGAATGCTTCAGTAAGGTGCTCAAGGGTGTACGTGCATTACCTGTGACGGCAATAGTTCAATACACATTTGACAAGATGAATGGATACTTTTTGAAGTATTCAATGGAGACGGATAAGCAGATTGCTGGTGAGAACAAGGATAAGCACAAGTACTATTTCCCACCAAAGGTTGAAGAATGGTTGGACTTTCAATCACGAAAGGCAGACTCCCAAGAAGCTGTACTATATGACGACAACGAGTGGAAGTATGAGGTGAAAGAGCCTGGAGGAACCAGAAATGATGGCCACCAACACGGAGGCCGCGCTTTCAAGGTCTCCCTAACACGGTGTGATTGCAGCTGCATGAGGCCATCGTTGCTTCATCTCCCATGCTCGCACTTGTTAAATGCAGCCCGTGTTAGGAATGTGGAGGTCAATCACCCTCTTACCATGAGGGAGTCCGAGTTCTCAATCATGACGGTAAAGAATACATGGGCTCCCCGATTTCAGTCATACTTGGACCAATCACAATGGCCGGAGTATCATGGAGTTCAACTATGGCCGGACCCGGAATTGAAGGTCGTTAGACGGGGAAGACGTAAGACAAAGCGTCTTAGAGGTGACATGGATGGATGGGGCCGTGGTGGCGGTGGAGAATACGGCACCGGCCAATTCCAAGAGCCTCGTGAGCAATCCTGTTGTGGGGACTGCAGTCATGGGGGACACAACACAAGAACTTGTCCCAAATCAAGAAAAAGATCAAAGAAAAATGATGCAAGCACAAGCCAAGCAAATGATAGCCAACCAAGTCAACCAAGGAGTAGCCAACCAAGTCAAACAAGCCAACGAGGCACTAGGCAACAAAGAGGTCGTGGTGGTGGTAGAGGCCGTGGTGGTGGTAGAGGCCGTGGTGATGGCCTAGGCCGTGGGGATGGTCTTTGCCGTGGTGAAGGCCTAGGCCGTGGTGATGGTCTAGGCCGTGGTGGTGATGGTAGAGGCCGTG